ACAGTATGGTGGTGCATGGTGTCCATTGAATCAAATAACATCAGTGCCGAATGAATGGTTAGAAATTGATTTTGGAAATTTAACTTATTTAACACAAGTTGAAACACAAGGTAGATTTGATAATGGACGTGGAAAAGAATATGCTGATTATTATATATTAATGTATACTCGATTAAATAATATAAACGATGATGACGATGATTATGATGGTGATGATTTAACATCATCATGGATTGAATATAAACCTAAAATAATACATAATGATGATAATAATAATAATAATAATAATTCATCATGGATACGAGCTAATCAAAATACTTATATGGGTGAAATTCGTCAATTAAGTATGCAAGAATATTAAATTATAAACTTTAAAACTAATATATTATCTATATTTAGATCCACCTATTGTTGCTAAACGTCTTCGTTTTTATCCTGTTAGTAAACAAACTCGAATTATTTGTATGCGTGTTGAAGTGTATGTATAAAATCTTAACTTAAATTAAATCAATATTGATTTTTTTTCTTTTTTTTGTATTTAATTTTATAGTTATGGTTGTTTATTTTCCGATGGTATTGTTTCTTATACAATGCCACAAGGACGAAATGATATAAATTCATTAGGTGATGATACATATGATGGAAAATATATATTAGAAACAAATATGTTAATCGATGGTCTGGGACAATTATCTGATGGTATAACTGGTTCTGAAGATATGTCATTTGTTGATGGTCGTCAACCATGGATTGGTTGGTCAAATGAATCAAATACACATGTAACAATAATATTTCAATTTGATTATATACGTCAAATGAATCGTGTAACTATTCATACAAATAATGTTTTTTCAAAACAAATATCAATATTTAAAACAGCTGTTGTTACATTTTCATTGAGTGGTGAACGAACAAGTTATTCAAATGCAATTATTTCTGAACAAAATCGTGATGAATTATTTGATATAGCTCGTCCAATATTAATACAATTAAATAATCATATTGCTAAATATGTACGTTTAGATTTATATTTTGATTCAAAATGGTTATTAATTAGTGAAATAACATTTGATTCACTAATTTATAATGAAAAATTAGATAATAAAAATGATGATTATTTTTTAAATATTAATCGACAAATGTCTTCATCTTCTTCTTCTTCTTCTTATTCATCTTCTTTTTCTGATCAAATGAAAATGGTTACAGATATACGTAAACGTCATCGTGATGTCTTACAAGTAACAACAGTAATACATTCAACATCAAAATCTTTTCAATCAACACATTTTTCAAATTTTATTACAACTGAATTATCATTAGCATTTTTTATTGGAGCATCTTTAGCTATTGGTCTTCTATTAGTTGTTTCACTTGTATGGTTAATACGACGAAAGAAAAAACTTCAATTTCAAAAGTAAGAAAAAAAAAATGATTTTTCTCTTTTTTTTTTATTCAATTCATTAAAACAAATTTTGTTTTATTCTTATGATTTAGATTAACAGAAAAACCATGTAATAATTCTTCATGTTATACATATCCAACATTACCTATACGTGAATTTCATGATTTAAATGCTCCCGTAACAAGTGCTATTGATGATCGGGAATATGCTGTACCTGATGTTAATTTCTATTCAACATTTTCTCATAGTCCACATATAAATCTTCATAAAAAACATATACCACCATTATCATCTACTTCATCTTATACGTGTAGTCCTCGATTAATTCGAACATCAAATATAAATCGTTATCCAACATTAAAACCTCTTCCAACACATTGTTGTATACATCAACAATATTTAACTATGCAACATCGTCAACCATCAATAAAAACAAATTCAAATATGATTTTATATTGTCAAACAGAAGAATTTTCATCGATTGAAACATTTTGTGGAAATAGTTTAATGATAAAAATAAATTCAATTATTGATAATCAACAAATATCAATAAAAGAAATTCATTCTGATAATATAAATATAATTGAAAAAATTGGTGATGGATTATTTGGTAGTATACATTTAGCTGAAATGAAATCAAATAATAATGAAAAACAGAGTGTTGTTGTTAAATTATTGAATGATAATGTTGATGAAAAACAAAAGTAAGTTTTTCAGTATTACACTAGTCGTCAAAAGTTTCACTATCAGGGAATAAGTATCTAAATTTGAATATGTTTTGTTTGATATTTTAACTACAAACAGAGTTCGATAAATGCTGATAGTAAGCATTAATTCGAGATTGATTAGTCTTATTATATTCGAGTTAGAATGAGAAACCACTGTGTTTTTCATTGAATCTCAAACAAGACTTTTTTTGACAGTTTTCTGATTTGCTATTATTTTTTAAGCGTTAATATTCATGATTTTATTGGCAATTAAAGCTTCACATATCTTTACTGTCTTGCGAATAGAAGACTTCAATCTGTTGTAGTTTTGTTACGTGATGATCGTTTTCACATAAATCTCCGCTCCATCAATGACTGTTTAAATCATGAAATTTTCAGAGAATACTTGATTAGAGCAGGCAATTCATTACTGGAGAAAATTTCAAAGCAAATGTTTGAAAATAATCGGAGTTAAAGGTTACTTTTTTGACGAGTCTCATCAACTCTGATACTAAAAATAGCCAAAGATAACCTCATAAATCAAGCAAGCGACAATATTTTGACATAAAATTCTTATCGATGATAGACGTAGCATTGATCTTTCGAGTCATGAGTCAAATGCTGTGAGATCTTTTTTTACTAATGCTGAAGTAGTTTCGTCTGAATAAAAGAGTCTATGTTGACCTTCTAGTTCCTTCGTATGAAAGTCAGTCAAGTCCTAGTTGCTGTTTGTAATCAGGATTCATTGCACGCGATTTGTCACCAAAATAGAATGTCAAAGTATTTACGTTGAGATACTTTCTATCTGGTAGTGGAAGTTTTGATAACAACTATCGTCTTGTGTTTTGTTAATTGAGAAAAAAAGAAATAAAAAAAAAAAAAGAAACTATTTATTTTAAATTAAATTATTTAGATTATTATTTTGGAAAGAAATTGAACTATTATCAACATTAAATGATTTTCATATATGTTCATTATTGGGTACATTAAATGATCAACGAACAGTGGCTATATTTGAATACTATACACTTGATTTATATCAATATCTTCGTCAACAATCTATACCAATGGATAATTATTCAGCATCAAGTTTTTTATTATCATTAGCATGTCAAATTGCATCTGGAATGAAATATTTATCAACAAATCAAATAATTCATCGAGATTTAGCAACAAGAAATTGTTTAATATCAACAACAAATAATCAATTACATATAAGTGATATAGCTATGGTTAAGCCTGAATATGCAAATGATTATGCACGTGTTGGACGTTTACAATCACGTATTGCTTTACGATGGGCTGCATGGGAATCAATATTTCTTAATCAATTTTCACTTAAATCAGATGTTTGGTCATTTGGTGTAACACTTTATGAATTATTTACATATGCACGTCAACGTCCTTATCATGCATTAACAAATGAACAACTTGTACAACAATTTGCTTCTTTTTCACAAGAACAATTACCAACACTACCATTAAATACTTTTGTTACATTACCAAAACCAGAATTATGTTCAAAAGAAATTTATGATATGATGTGTGAATGTTGGCAAAAAGATTCTATACAACGACCATTATTTGCTGATATATATACATTTTTGCTTGGTCGAGCATCGGGTTCAGCACCATTAGTAACAGCAGAACAATTATGAAGAAAAAAAAATTTCTTTTCTTTTGTTTTTGGATTGTTTTGAATCAAAACTAAGAACAAAACAATTAGTATTCTTTATATGTGGAGATTTTTGCAATTATGCTTTGCTTTTTATTTTTCATTTTGTATGCATATGTGTGTATTTGCTTCAGTCAGATTTCTTATTCGAGTTTATCTATGCGTGTATATATATATATGTAGAAAGAGAGATTATTAAAATGATGACGATGACGTGAAAGTAATAAAAATCTTGACAATGATTTATGCATTTTATATGTATAAAGGTCTGTTTTATCGATTGAGATTTGGTCAATTGAAATTATGATGTTCGATAAAAATGTTATGTGATTGTATTGTTTTAAGATAAAGAGAGCCAGAGAAATAAGATCTTATTACGAAAATAATTAATTACAGATAGCTATGGAAGATGATCAATATATTAATAATGACATTATGAAAAAAAATCATAAGTATATACAGTAAAACCTCTATAAGATGAACATCATTGGGACCTCCCGAAAAGTATTCATTATGAGAGGTGTTCATCTTATAGAGGTTTTGCATAGATTGAACTGTTGCATGCATACAATGATCAGTAGGACTATTTCAATGACTACACAATTCATGTGAAGTTCACTGCAGATGAATCAAAGAACGAAACCAAATCTTTCATCTAGTGCATGACTTTTTGTGTTATCTTTGTTGAAAATAATCCTCCATTGTCGTCTATTTGGGCCCTTTCGCGTCGATGTAGAAGTTGAGTGCATTGCAAGACTAGCTGTGCAATTTCTTCTGAAAGGGTCAATGTACGCTTCGTCATCATCTCTTCATTGAAAATAAACAAATGCTCTGTTAGGTCACTGGTGAACAGTCAATCCATCTCAGAACAGTGTGTCGCGAACTATTGATTTTTTTTGTTCTTTTTTCTATGATGAATAGACCGCCGACGAATTGACCTAGCCCCTATTTAGAATGCATATTGTGTTTTGTTTTTCCCTGTTTTCTCACACATACATGCATAAGTTGTTGAACGCGTGTTCATTTTATAGAGGTTTTCTTTGCTAAAGGGACCAAAAAAAGTGTTCATTGTTCAGAATTGGGACGTGTTCATTATATAGAAGTCCATTTACAGCAAAAATCGATCAGGGGGACCGAAACACGTGTTCAAATAGGAGGTGTTCATTATATAGAGGTGTTCATTAAGGGAGGTTTTACTGTATATGAATGCATTGAGCTATACTTTTTTAGTCTGCTCAATAGTAAATGGCACAATTCTTGAACGCTTCGTGGGCTTTATTGTCCAAGGTTGAACTGAATGACCATTCGTCGAACCATAAATGGCACCTGTATTGAGTCGAAGCAGTTTTTTAATGATGTAAACTAATTGCTTCCTGTACAAGCTTGCTGAAAGAAAGTATAAAAAGACTGATGTAGCATATGAGAACATATATAGCATTTGAGCCATTCGAAACCACAAGTAATAATCTATTGGGCTTAAGATTGTGATTGCCAGAAAACCTATTATGTAGATGGCTCCAAGTGGTGTGCAAACTATAAGAAAACAAATCACTTGTGCGAGGAGCATTCGAATAAGTTCATATTGAGTACGACGAAATCGTGAGTCTCCTGTTGTAACTGTATTAACCTGTTTTGTATTGTATATTGTTAAAAGACCAAAGATGACCATCAAAATGGGAGGAATGACTGAAAGAAAAACTATTTGCATAATTGGGTAGATACGACCATAGAGTGTTACTGCTGAAATTCGACATGGTACCATTTGTCCTGGTTGGGGTTCGAGTAATACTAAAGAACTAATGAAGAAGAGTGAGAAAAAAATGAGAATAAATGATATTGCCCATCGAGCAACAGTTAAATTGCTCAGATTCCGTCGTCGAGCACTGATGGAACTGGCCAAAAATCGATCAATTGCGGCTAAAACAATAAAATATGGTGAAACTACCATGGATGTTTGTTGGACAAAGAGGATCAGTTTGCACAATATTCGAGAATAGCCTGTTGGATCCAGGGAGTATCCAGTTGATAATAGATTGAATGTAACGAAGAAAGTCGAAAAGAATAAGTTGTTACTAGCAAGAGCAATAAAATAACGAGAACATGGATTATTGTACAATCCACGTCTTGTTAATACTATAATATTGAATGTGTTTCCTATAATACCAATTGCTGTAATTGGTGTTAAAAATATTCGGTACAATTGAGGAATAAGTAGAAGCCGTGGATCTGGCATGATTTTTCTGATACTAGATCGAATTTGTATTCAATATCAATGTACGAGTACAGTCACTATCTGAAAAAGTAAAATTTGAATTTAATGCAATTGAATTGAATCAGATTTTGTTTTTACAATGAAAAAACATGTACTTTGATACGACTACTATGGATATAGTTCTTGATAAGATTTAAAGGTTTCAATAAAATGAGAACGTATAACTTACTAAGATCATTTACATTACAAGATCTTTGTAAATTCTGATATTAAAAAATAAATTTAAAGAATGGAAAAGTTATGAGTAGGAATAAGGACATAAATCCAAAGAAGAAACTGTAAGTTCATTTTCGCAGCATATTCACAAGAAGATGGAAATAAAAATGACAGAAAAATTCGTAATTGCTATTGATGACGCACAACTCATATAATAGACAGATTGCTAAAAGATTTGTTAACTAAAGAATTTTCCTTAAAATGAAATACTTGATGGGTATCAAATACGTTATTTAGCGTTATATCTGCAACATGCTATATTACTTCATGAATCAGCTCGTAATTGAAGGAAATTATCTTTTCAATGTAAAGTAATTGTAATGCGAAACGATTAGAAAAAAGTATTCCATGGTAGAAAAAAAATAAGAAAATCACGTGGATTTCTAGTGTAAGAATTCAACCTTCTTATGACATACGTCAAAATTGAGTTCCATTTGTGTGCTATGTAAAGTAAAAACAAATTGAAAATGTTTGAGACACACTTAATTATACATATTGCTCATACTGACACAGACAGCCTAGAATTGTTTACTATAATGAAGACTCTAAACTTGACATATGCCTTACTTGAATACGCAGTACATTCGAGAACAATTTGTATATCTCGCATTAAACTTCAATAGTAATTTCCAATTATGTTTTACTCAATCAAGATCTTATTACACTGACAAATGAAAAGAAGGCATTGATACATTCACTGTTTACATGATTGAAATCACGAATTATACTTATGAGAAACATGCTTATTTCACTCCAGAGAAGATATCTTAGTTATCTAGATCTTCATTTCTAAGTCATCGACATTATAATCTGATTAAAAAAAAGAGTAAGCCTAGCCTCTTATCAAGTACATCGGAAAGTGGAATTTTGAATTGCATCTTGAAACTTTGTGCCCTTAAAGATATCTATGAGAAAAGTACATTCTGAAAATATGAATATTAAATATTTTGTAATTTCTTACAACTTATTTATCTAATAAAGAATTTCCTCCTTTTTTATTTGATTTATTTGAAGAAGGTTAGTAGGAAATATTCTTTATCGAGCTCTTATAGACAAAAAATATTGATTCCTAAATAAACAATTCAAGTATAAATACATTTGTATCTCGACGTCGAAAGTTTGAACATTCCTTTCTTTTTTCCTTTTATAAAGCGCACGTGTATTTTCGAAAAAATGTTAAATATATATGCTTTAAACTGAAGTATTTCGACTCGTTTTCTCCCACTCACTCTATTAAAGACACCGTCACAATAGAGATCTGAACAACGAAGAATAACAGACGTCATATTTTCTACATTTCTTTCAAAATAGATATAATTATAATTTTCAGAACTAATGAATATCATTTCTTGTAATAAACTTATTTGCCCACTAAATCAATAAGTATAATGATAAGAAAACTAAACTAGATGTAGATACGATCTATTTAGAAATAAATAAAGAAAGAGGAAAAGAGAAGTCACACTGATATACTATAAAGAGCTTCACATCGTAATTGAAGAAAGAATTAAAATACGAAAAGCAATGAGAAAACTGATAGTTAAAACAAGCTTGAGTACCTACTACAATAATACGAATATTTTGCTGGAAGTACGGAAATTAGAGAAGCTACTATTTGAGAAATCAATAATCTTATAAAACTCGTGGCTATAGGCTAAAAGATGTTTTCCATTTTTTTGCATTATATATTAATTCAATAAGACTACAAAGTATACGTAAGTTTCACATGTCAGCTCCAATGGAACTGCACTATAAAGCTTTCTTTTTAATTTTCCATAGAAGCAATGGTGACGAAGAATGCAGATAATAAGCTTGCTTTCAGCGTCAGTGTTATCATCTTCTTGTCATCTCCATCATTATTGAAAATGAAATTAAAAAAAAAGAAAGAGTTCAAATTGCAAGGGTCCATATGTGTATATGCTTATGTGTGTTGTTTATTAATACAACAATTTTCTCGTTCTGTGTAACAGTTTAATGAAGAAAAATGTCCTGAAAAAGGTCATTGGATTAATATATGAAATAAAAGAAGTGAATAATAAATTTAGTCGCCAGCAAATAAATATAGAAGAAAATGCATCTAGAATTCAAAAGTCAATATTTCGAGAAATTGAATGATTAAATGCCTTATTTGAATATTGGGATCATTTTAATTTGTTGTTTATCAATATATAATAGATAATAGAAGTGTAGCAAGAATATGAGATACAGAATTATAATTACAACTATGTGTTAATTTCTGTGTAATTAATAATTCTTCTAAAATCTCGTATATCTCTATAGCTCGTCATACTTCCTACTCGTCCGAGATCTTTACAAACAAAAAAGAAAAGGAGTTCCAGAAAATTCAAATGGATTTACCGGAAACTCAAAGAAGACGTCATAAATGATCTCGAGAAGTCAAAGTTTTTTTTTAATGGAATAAGTCTTTGCTGTCTCAAGAGCAAAGTTATTTGATATCTTCAGATATTCCCTGATCAGATTGGTTTGCATTATTATAATCAAATTTACTTTAAAAACATATCTTGTCTATATTTATGAATGAAGCTATTATTTTCTATGGCGCCTTCTAACGTGTCTATAATATAATCTTTGTGTTTCTAGTTGAAATTGAGAAGAGTAGCCTGTTAATAAAGATACAAAAGAAGTCGTTCTCGTTGACATATGAATCAAGCCCTTGCAGTTGAAGTCAACCGTTCTCTATTAGACATTTCTGCATCTACTTTGTTTCATAATACTCTACGAAAGAAAGATACTTCAAATGAATGATGTCATATCATTCTATTGTTACGTCGTATAAACTATAAGAAAATTGAAAAATCTCTGATTTAATTGTCTGCAGTTCTGTTGTAGTCAACTGTTAGTACACGCCAATATTATTCTAAGTACTATTGGGTCGCAGAGTGTGATGCATGATATGTTTTTATTCTTTTAAATCGATTTAATCTATTTATGTTCATTGAAATGCGACAACGAAGTAAACATGCATTACTCGTCATTAGGAATAGATGTGATAAAATTTATAAATAGAATCACGTTATTATCACACAAAATATTCTATTCTACTCGTAAATTTTGATGTACTGATTGACGATTTCATAATTCTCCAAATGAGAAAGTTCTATGTACGCCATTCTCTTTCACGTCGCTTATACCATGAAATGGGACTCCTGATTACTATACATTTTCTATTAGGAACATTTGATTATTTGTTAAGTCTTGGAAGCCATATACGCATGTCTCTTCCATAATATTTAACTATACTTCATATCATAACTTCATTTTCGCGTTAAAAACCATTGTAGCATCTTGTTGTGATGAACATTTTTCAATGAGTCTTGACATGCGAGGAAAAACTTTTTATGCAGTTATTTAGATATACCTTTGAAAAATCTGCAAATGATTTGAAAATGTTACACATTCTGACTCCATGAAAACTATAACTTTTTACCTGAAATCGACCTCGAACATGATTCAGAAAAGACTTGGAGAAAGTAAAGACGTAAAATTTCAGTATAGAGAAGTAAATTGTTGTTTGAAAAAAGTGCTTCATGAAGCAAGAGTTCTCTCTCATAACTGACTATGATGAGAAATGGATGTTTTTCATTTCGATCTCAGACACTTACGAAGAGCAAGAAAAAGAGATAATAAATTCAGAAAAGTTTCTTTTTAATTAAAATTGTAGTTTTTTCTCGTTTAAGATATTGCATTCTTTACATTCTGATCCTTATCGACATTGAGTAGACTATCCATTATCAAAAATGAAGAGGAAAAAACAAGCTCAGTAGTTCAGCTCTGGAGGGACTAAAACTCACAGGTTATATATGCTCGTCAGTCGAATTAATCATGAGCAGCCATCGATGTGCATAGGCGACAGAAGCTTTAGGTTAGTGAGAACTAAAAATATTATTCATAGTGCACTTTTTTAGATGTAAGTTATATCTTATATCGGTTACCAAAAAATTAAATTAATATATTAATTCCCAAAATTAAAAGTTTCTCTTGGACTATCAATGTTATATCGTATTTTTTCTTCATATCAAACAGAATATTCTTATTTATTTACAAATGCCCTGATATTTTTATTACCACGACTTGTAAATTAGTTTTCTCTTATCAAATTCATTGCTCTTAATTAAGATTCTTATTTTGATAATATCGAGTTAAGTGATAAATAAGTCTTTTCTACGGTTTCATGATATCTAAAGCAGATTATATGCACTATAATATATATTAATTTATTCACAAGCTATGATAGTTAATACTTCTGAAAATTACAATTTTGTCGTTGTTTACAAAAATAAAGAATAGGTGATGCCCGTTATTCTTGATTATTATGGTTTGTAATACGGAGATGTCTACAGTAGAAGTGTGTTTGTTATCGGGTAGCCATGAAAGTGCAGCCAAAGAGCTTCCAACTAAAATTTAAACGAATTAGTGTTTTCGAAAATATAAGTGAATTCTCAAAAACTATGACAACCGAATGTGGATATGAATGTATGTAACTGTGAGGTAATGGATGTAGATGGAGTGGGGGGGATTGGCGCAATGGTAATATGTTGGATTCTCGAGAATAAGCATCGTGTTCGAGCCTTCCCTCCCACAGCACCATGTTTATATAACTCTGTTCTGTTCTAAACGTCGCAAGCTACTCGTTCGTCGATGGTCTATGCATTCCACTCGCATACCAAAATGGTTCGACT